TGCTGCCCAACATTTCCAGCGCGATGGCTGATCCACTGGTCTTCAACGTGACACATCCAGGTATGTGTAACCCTCTTTCTTCCATGTACTTCTTGTCTACTTGTTTGCAAGTCAAAACTTGCTATTTTCTTCCTTTCTCCACACAAGACCTTCTCTCGTAGCTAAGTTGGCAAACACGTTTGTGTTATATAAGAGGAACAGGTTTCGTCTTTCTCCTCACAATTATGATAACCATGTCCTATCATCGTCGATTAGACTTTAGTGTTCCGCAGAATGTGCGAATTCGGGCAATCAACCCACACATCGTGATCTTGTCATGGAAACCGCCAGCTGGACCTAACGGTCGCATCACTAGTTATACCGTTGAATGGTTTGTCGATAAGAGGAGGCAGAAGAACATCCTAATCAACTCAGGTCACTTCTACGCCTTCAAGGGACTGAAGTCGGGGCAGACTGTCGAAGCATCTGTTTGCGCACACAACCAACCGGCAACTTCGGTGAAATTGGATTACATCGGTTCACGCAGTGATTTCGTAAAAATAACTACCCCATCTGACAAACGAGGTTAGTCCCACTTTGCTAAAGTGATTAGCTCAGCTTAAAGTAGAAGTGCAATTAGGACTTAGGTGGAATGCTAATGCTACTTCACTCCCACCTCCAATGCTGTGGTCTCGACTACAGATAGGAACTCGGAGGTGGTAAGCTTAATGGTGAATGATGCCACACCACTGGCAATCAACATTTAACATTTGGATGTAATTATGGTATGAGATGGACCCTTTTGACTTTCACCACGGCTTTCCTAACACAGCAAAAGGATCAGTTGCGATTCGTGTTGTTAAAAAGAAGAAGCCACCCGCTGCTGCTTCTGAGAAGAAGACGAAAGATGGAGCTGGATTTACTCTAAAACGGAAGAAGACTAAGGTTGTCGTCTCTGCAATCTCAGGCTCCAAAGCTGGGGGTTCCCCAACAACTTCCTCAGATTAATGTCAAAAATGCTGCCTCTTCCTCGCTCTGTGATTGCCGTGATTAAGGAATCCACCCACTCTCAACAGCTGTGACGGAAGCAGCTCTGCTGATTCTTGTGCTCTCCAAGATTGGTGAACCTTGCTTGTCCCCTACAATTGTCCCATCTGACGTCTTTGCTCCACCTTGTATACTTATTGAGGTAGCACACACTTTTCTGTGCAACTCCTTGCCTTCATCTAGCAAACTCTAACCGAGCAGGTATGTACTCAACGCCCTTCAGTGCTGAACTTTAAACGCAATTGCACTTTTGGGAAGGTAGACTTGCATGCTAATATTCGAGTTGCTGATTACGACGACGTGGAGAAGCCACTGCAATAAGACGACTTAGTGCAAGTGGATGAGAAATGATGTGAACAGGAAGTTGGATGACCGAACCTAGCAGACTGGGTGCCTGCCTTTGTGGGGCTGAGGGGACATGGAATTAAAGTTCACCAGCACAGAGGCAAACATGACTTACTTGGACCCAACTGCGCCTAGTTGCACTTCCCTTAACCACTCGAATGTGGGGCGGACTAGTTACATTTTTGATGCCTCAACTGCTCAACGCAGGCTACTCGACAATTGTGGTGAAAGTAGGTTGAGTCTGCATTACAGCCCCTCTTACTGGGTTGGAGGGTGACAAACGATTCATAAGCCAGTGAACTCAAACAGGCGCACACACGCACTGAGACTGGTAAAGTCATGCGGTCTTTATTCAACAATCTGCCATCGAAGTCGGTGGGTGAGAGGCTGACGGGTTTTAAGCCACTTGCCTCACACCAGATCAAGGCCGCCTGGT